CCAAATCCCAGCGGTTCCATCCCAAACCCCAGCGGTTCCATCCCAAATCCCAGCGGTTCCAAAATCACCCCAAACCCCAGCGGTTCCATCCCAAATCCCAGCGGTTCCACCCCAAATCCCAGCGGTTCCATCCCAAATCCCAGCGGTTCCATCCCAAACCCCAGCGGTTCCATCCCCACCCCCAGCGGTTCTCGGCCCTGTCGGGGCTCGGCGGCGTTTGGAGCTTCTCCGTCACCCCCGCGGCGCTCCCGGTCCCGCTCCCGGCCCCGCCCGGTCCGCTCCCCGCTCCCCGCCACCCGAGCATCCCCCGGTGCCCCGGGCGGGCCCCGCCTCGCGGCGCCGGTGCCGCAGCCGCCCCGGGGAGCGCGAACAAAGGCCGGGGCGCGGCGCGGCCCGGCACAGACATCACGTCATCCGCCCGGTCCGCACCTGCCACCGGCCCCCGCTCCGCCGCCACCGCCGCCACCGGCGCCGCGCCCGCGGCCGAGCGCTGGCACCGCCCCAGCGGCGGCGGCAGCGCGGGGGCGGAGGGGCCGCGGGATGCTCGGGGACCGGGGGATGCTGAGAAACGGGGATGCTCGGAGAACGGGGGGGCTCGGGGACCGGGGATGCTGAGGGACCGGGGGATGCTCGGGGAACGGAGGATGCTGAGGGGCCAAGGGATGCTGAAGGACCGGGCGATGCTGAGGCACCGGGCGATGCTGAGGCACCGGGGGATGCTCGGGGACCGGGGGATGCTGAGGCACCGGGGATGCTGAAGGACCGGGGAATGCTGAGGCACCGGGCCCGGGCGATGCTGAGGCACCGGGGATGCTGAAGGACCGGGGGATGCTGAGGCACCGGGGGATGCTGAGGCACCGGGGATGCTGAAGGACCGGGGGATGCTGAGGCACCGGGGGATGCTGAGGCACCGGGCGATGCTGAGGGACCGGGGGATGCTGAGGGACCGGGGGATGCTGATGAACCGGGCGATGCTGAGGCACCGGGGGATGCTGCGCTGCCGCCGGGTGCGGAGGCCCCGGAGCGCCGCTCCCATCCCCGCGCACGGCCCAGCCCCGGGTGCGCCCCTCGGGGCCCCGCCTGGAGCAACCGGCGCCGGGCCGCACTCACCGAAGCCGGGCTGGACGCTGGTGATCTCGGCCATGGCCCCGGCGGGGCCGCGGGGCTGCGGGGCCCGGTGCGGCGATGCGGGAGCTGGCGGCCGGTCCCGCTGCGGCGCTCGCCCCGCCCGGCCCCGCCCGCCCGGCCCCGCCCGGCGGTGACTCGGCAAGCGGCGGGGCGCGGAGAGCCGCGGGGCGTGGGCGCCGAGCCCCGCGCGTGTCGGAGCCGCGCTGCCACCGGCAGCACCGGGCGGCTCCGTGCGAGCGAGCGGGCGGCGGCGGCGCCCGGCGAAGATGGCGGTGACCGCGCTCCGTGCCCCCCCCCCTCACGGCTCCGCCTCACCGGGGCCGCGGCGGGACCGGCCGCGGGCGCGCATGCGCGGGGCGAGCACCGCGCGCTTCCGGTTCCTGCGCGGGCCGCGGGACCGGGCGGGACCGGGCGGGACCGGAGCGGGACCGGGCGGGACCGGGCGGGACCGGAGCGGGACCGAGCGGGACCGGGCGGGACCGGAGAGGGACCGGGCGGGACCGGGCGGGACCGGAGCGGNGGACCGGGCGGGACCGGGCGGGACCGGAGCGGGACCGAGCGGGACCGGGCGGGACCGGAGAGGGACCGGGCGGGACCGGGCGGGACCGGAGCGGGCCCGAACGGGACCGGGCGGCCCGAACGGGGCCCGAACGGGATCGGAGCGGGACAGGAGCGGGACCGGGCGGCCCGAACGGGGCCCGAACGGGATCGGAGCGGGACCGGAACAGGACCGGAGCGGGACCGGAACGGCCCCGGAGCGGCCCCGCGGCGGGACCGAACGGGACTGGAGCGGGACTGAACGGGACCGAGCGGCCCCGGAGTGGGACCGAACGGGACTGGAGCGGGACCGAGCGGCCCCGGAGCGGGACCGGGCGGGACCGAGCGGCCCCGGAGCGGCCCCGAGCCCCGGCATGGCCCTGGCGCTGAAGATGCTGCCCTGCAAGAAGCGCAGGGCGGCGGGGCCGCCGAGCCCGCGGGAGCGCGGCGAGGACGCGGAGCCGCCCGCAGGCCCCGGGGCTCCCGACGGGCCGGGCCCCGCCGCAGCGGAGCCGCCGCCGAGGGGCGGCAGGACCGGCGCCGTCCGGGCGGAGCTCCCCGCGGGCCCCGGCAGCCCGCCGGCGGCGGAAGGTACCGGCGGCAGCGGCGGCTCTGGACCAGGCGTTTTGCCATTGTTTGGTTTAAAATGAGGGTGTTTTCTCCCCCCGGGAAGCGAGGCGGGGCCGGACGGGACTGGAGCAGGCCGGGGCGGTGGAAGGTGGCCCGGCCTGGCTGGGGTGGCGTTTGTGGGTTTGTGTTCGCTCCCCACACGGACCGGGCTGTGGTGAGGTGGGGAAGGCAGCTGAGGGGATCGGAATATCGCTGCCCGGGAAAGGCTGAGGGAGCTGGGGCTGCTCAGCCTGGAGAGGAGCCCCAGCTGAGAGGGGCCTCAGCCCTCAATGGCCCTGGGTGTCCTCAGGTGTCCCTGGGCGTCTCTGGAATTCTGTGGGTGTCCCTGGGTGAACTCAGATGTTCCTGTGTGTCCCTGGATCTCCCTGTCTATCCATGAGTGTCTCAGGGTGTCCTCAGCTGTCCCTGGGTGTCTCTGGATTTCCGTGGGTGTCTCTGGGTGTCTCTGGCTGTCCTTAGGTGTCCCTGGGTGTCTCTGGATTTTTGTGGCTGTCCCTGTGTGTCCCAGTCCATCCCTGTGTGTCCCAGTCCATCCCAGTCCATCTCAGTCTGTCCCAGTCTGTCCCTGTCCATCCCAGTCTGTCCCAATCTGTCCCAGTCCATCCCAGTCCATCCCAGTCTGTCCCAGTCCGTCCCTGTCCATCCCAGTCTGTCCCTGTCCATCCCAGTCTGTCCCAGTCCGTCCCAGTCCATCCCTGTCTGTCCCAGTCCATCCCAGTCCGTCCCAGTCCATCCCAGTCCATCCCTGTGTCCCCCAGGCCCTGCCCCAGCCCCAGCGCTGCCCCAGAGCCCCGGGCAGGGCCGAGCCCAGGAGCTGCCCCTGCCCAGGAGGCAGAACTGCTGCCCTGGGCAGTGCCAGCCCTGGGCAGAGCCCGGAGAGGCTGCGGAGCGTCCAGAGCCGCCTGGCCACCGCCTGTGCCCCGTGCCCTGCGATGGCCCTGCCTGCACAGCTTGGCACAGCTGACCCGCAGTGGCCCTTCAGG